TATATGGGTATTCTGGGTAAACTTACTTGACCTCGGATGATTGCATGCACCACACCCTTTCTTGTATTCGAAATTCTTTACTTAAAAACATTTTTCTTTTGAAAACTTTACAGATCCTCAGTTTGAGTTCAGAATCACCCGAAAGTGTCTCCGAATCCCTCAAGCCAAGGCTCTTATATCAACTTGTAACGACCCAAAAATCAGGAGTAAAGATTTCATTTATAATCCAACCCAAACATAGATACCACTTATTCTAAACATTCCAAAACAGTGTTAATCAGAAACATTTAGTAGAGTTTGTCCCAAAATCATTCAATGCGTACATCATAGGTGTGTGTACTGCGATCAATCCGAGCCTTTATTTTTCAAATCGACGATACTTGAAACCAAAACTGTAAACCGTAAGCACGGAGCTTAATGAGTCCGCCAGAGCATATCCCACACACAAACCACATAACACATATCACATTATCCTTAAGCTACATATATCACATATATCACCCGGGTCGTACATCTAATGTCACGGGAACCTACACGTGGCCTTTATCTGCCATGGGAACCCATACATGGTCTTCCTGCCTTGGGAAACCCCACAAGGTCTTTTTTCCTTGGGAACCCCCACAATGTCTTCCTACCAAACATGACATAATGCAAACTATACGAGCAAATATATTAGGATGCCATGAAAACCCTCCAAGGTCTTATACCAAATGCCACAGGAACCCCCACATGGTCATCCATGCAAATGACATACTATCATATCACATATTCAATCAATAAACTGCATCTCATGAAATGGGTCGGCCTTGGTGCTTTAGACCCATTGATATGGTGGTAAGACTCACCTCTCGACTGCTGAACTGATAAGCTGAAATCAGACATATCCCACACGCTGCTCCTTTTCAACTGCCCATAATCATTAGGTGATTAACTTGACACAAACCCATAAATACCCTCAGGTCCACCCTGGTCAAAGTCTATGTCTGTAGTCAAGGTCTACAGTCTATATTAACCTTGACTCGTTGAGTACAATTAGCCACTCATCGGGTTCCGTGCTTAACTCATCAACTCGCCGAGTCACCCGAGAGACTCGTCTAGTTCCTTGATGTTCAGGGCCGTAAAATCCCAACCGAACACCCTGGACCGTGAACCCTTGGCCGTGAATTAGAAAACCCTCCCGACTCGCCGAGTCACAAGAGCGACTCGACGAGTTTCCACATATTCGGTCCTTTCCAGTGGGATTTATGGTCCCAAACTTTAGATCCATATTCTCCTAATGATAATACCATGTAAAGTTGCCAACTTTACGTTCATACCAAGTCTTATAATGCCAAAACCACATCAATAATATTCTTACAACTCCCTAATGCATGAATAAGAATTAGGGTGCACCAAAGAGACAACTTTATTACATTTGGGACCTAAGAAGATATAGATCTGGAACCATATCCTTATGATAGGTCCAGATCCAAACTTGATTCCATTTCTTTAAGATGGCCATAACCTTCCAAAAGAAATCCAAGAGCTTTAACCTTTAAGGTAACAAATTAATACCTCGATAAAGTGCCCAACACGAAATAGATACTCGATCTAGTTCTCCTCCCTTGATAGTTCCTCTTCAAGCTTGAAATCCTCCCTAAAATTCCAAAGACAAGCTCCCAAATGCTCTCTCTCTCTTCACACACAAAATGTTTGCTGCCGAGCACAACTTCTAGGGTGTAAAATGGAAGGCTATGAGGCAGATAATGATATTTATATAGGGGTAAACCCCAAAATTAGGGTTTTTTCCCTACAGCACTGACTCACCGAGTCAGGCCTTCCAACTCGCCGAGTCGGTCCCGATCCATGACTGCGATTAAATGCCTCCACTCGATGAGTTGGACTCCCAACTCGCTGAGTCCATGCACCACAACCCTAAAAATTCAACCAAACCCAATAATACCTGGATCAGATGTTACATTTCTTCTTGAAAGACCCTCCGTCATACCAAGTTGCTATTCAGGTAGGTTTGAGCCCTAATATTGAAAAATTGATTTCTTACAAGTAATGTTTTTTTATCTTATATTCAGTGAGTTATTGATTTCTCACTCCCATGCCTAAAACTGCTCAATGAAACCTGTCCTAGGATCATTCCCTCTTTACATTTTTCTGATCGGCAGAGTTCATTGATGTCGGGCTAGTTGGCGTCCACGGTGATGCGGGATAGCTGACGTCCCTTCCCCCCTCTGGTAAGAAACCACCACAACATCATCCCCAATGTATCAAGACCATAAACTCACACCCTTACCACCAATGTACAACAAGGAATCTGCCAGCCAGCACCACTAACACTTTTTTAGGTTGGATGTTTGTTTGGGTTTGGTTTCTTGAAGGTGTTCATGGTGTTCTGGGACACCTCAGATATGGTAAGTTATTAAATTCTTTGGTTATGATTGATATGAACTGAAAGTGTTTGTTGAAATGTCTATTTTTATTGGTCATTGTTAAATCATTTGATTCAAACTTCAATTGCAAGATTCAGAAAAACACATACGAATAGATCAAAGGAATCCAACAGTAAATCTCCTTTTTCACATATTTTTTTTTGTGGAGTATCCTTAAAGTTATCATTTACATGGTCGAATATGAAGTTAGAGCTAATGAAACTTCAATTGAAGATGCTAGAAAACTTTCATAAGAATTATTTGCATCATTAAGAAGGTTTGTTATCTGACAAATATATTTGGAAAAAAAAATATGATCTTATTGTTTATGTTACAGGTTGATATGTGTATTTTTATATATATATTTTTATGCATTATATCTTAATATTTTGGCCTTTATGATTCTCTTTTAGAACTAAAAAGTACTCATAATGCTTTTAATTATGTTTTGCAGCTATTCGTTATCGATAAAGCACAAAAGAAAAGACTGAAGTGGAAACCAGACTTAGAAGCTAAAAGAAAAGAAAAATGTTGGAGGACCAATTACGCCCATCGTAATTCCCTTGTACGCTAAGCGTAATGCCTAAATTCATGTAACACCCCGCGTAACCTAAGGGTACGCCCCGCGTAATGGCTTGCACTGGATAAACTCAATCGCGTGTAAATCCTTAGTACACCCAACGTAATCCGACTTACGCCCAACGTACGTAAGTCGGCTATAAAGGTTATAAAAGTCGATTTTCAGCTAACCAGAAGGGGGGATTTGAATTCTAACCTAATTTAGTCGATAATTAACTTTTGTTAAGCCGTTTTGAGGGTCTAGAAGGCGGTCGGAAGGCCGTTAAGCTAACGGGAGCGGAGATCGGAAGGGTTGGAGAGCGGATACGTGTCGGCAATCATATGGGCTGTTAACGTGGCCATGTTTAACATTCCATTGCGTTACTATTCTGTATTTAGTTTCTGATTTGGGTGTAAAAACCTTTTACTTTGTGTTTATGATTGAATGAAACCTTGATTATTGGACTAATTGCTATATTTTATAGTTTGTTTGTGTTTAATTTATCTTGACAAGCGTGTTAAAAGATCCTTACATATTAATGATAATTATTTGCTGTTAATTGTTAAGTGAATTGAGTTGTATGAACATCTGCTTGATTGCTTGTCTCTTATGATTTTGATGACCATCGAGATTATAAGTCTAGGAATAACGAATGTGAAACTAGGATTAAGTTGGGAATAAGTAAGTTAATGTGTGAGCCTTGTTTGATGACCATCAACAAGAGGTTAATTGAATGTCTAATTTGATTAACTATATTTACAAGTCTTGCTTGATATGAACTGAACACTAGGAAGCATGTTAGTTTAATCAACTGATCACTGTTTGAATTGACTTGTTTGCTAAAGGATTAGTTATAGTGAACGCGAATCTAATCATTTTAGGAATCGGTGAACATGAATAAATGAATTTGTGTATGCAATTTTCTATGTTTTTAAGGTGTAATTTGTCTAAACCAAAGTACCTGAAGAGATTTGCTTTCCTGTTAGGTTATTGAGAGTAGTTAATTAATTGTTAGTTTGAGATTTATTTCTTTATTCTTTTCGTGTGACCTGTAACCTATAATCAAATATATTAAATTAATCTACCGTTCCCTATGATCGACACCCGACTTACCTAAGCTATACTGTAATCTGACTAGGTACACTGCCTATAGGTGCATAGTTAGTCTAAGTTTGTTAGGTTATAAATATTAAAATTAATGGGTACTTTCGTGCACATCAAGTTTTTGGCGCCGTTGCCGGGGAACGGCTTGTCATTAATTTAGTATTTGATTATTCGTTATTTGTTTTTAGTTAGTTTTTATTTTTAGTTTGATTTTCGTTGATATCATTTCACTTATCGGGAAGGTTCTTGTTGTTAATTGCAGGAATTTGGGGTTGTACACATTGCTTGACTTTACTTTTTGCATGGGTTTCGAGAATGAAATCGATTAGGGAATTCTTGACCTGCTTAGCCTACTACTTTGTTGATTTGTCCAACTCAATCCATGAGGCGTAGTATAGCAAGGCGTATAGTGGTGGTTAAGTGGAAGATCGAGCTCTTGCTGTTCTTGACTAGTTAGGTCACTTCTTGTTCCGCTTCTAGTTAAAGGTGCAAAGAAAACAAATGAAATATTCTAACGGGTCCCGAAAGTGGGTGTTTTCGCAAACCAATTCTTGCGTGCAAAGGTTTTTAATCAACCATTGTTGTTTGATCTTGAAAAAGATAAGTGATTATGACGTCTCGGTTTTTTTTATCACTCATCGTGAAGTCATCAGTTGCTGAAGTAATTAAAAAAGAAGAATAATTAATAATAAGTCCCTAAATTAATTAGTTAAAAAAAAGGAATTTCAAATAAAGGAAAAGAAAATTTTCATTCAAAGTTACGCCCAACGTAAATCAGTGACAGATTTTATCTGTTTACCCTTTTATTTTTTTATTCTTTCAAAATTTCCTCTCTTTCGCATACGCTGTGACGAACAAGCTCTCAAAATATTTTCGATTGTTCTTCGTTTCTTGTAAAATTGGACACACAAGTTATGGCCCGAAGAACTCAACGGACCAAGCCACCCGAGGATGTGACTGATCACGGTTTCTTACAATTTCCGCAAACGCTGAACGATGCAACCAGAGCATGATATGTCGCCAATTTGAGTTTGTTTCTCACCAAGGAGATCGATATAGCACCATCATTCGACTGGGAATTGGCTACCCGGACTGGACTTGCTGTATTGATCCAGGAATTTTTGCAATACACGCACTCGGACGCGAGTGGTGTGGACTTGTTCGTGTGTCAGGGATGGGCACGTTTGTTTAGGATCCAGGAGCCTGTTTATCGGGAATTTTTGCTGGAGTTTTACGCTACCGTTTCCTATGATCCTAGGAAGGCACCCGATGACGGGACAACCTTTGCCTTCAGACTGGGGGGAGTGAGCCGGGAATGCAGCGTGATAGAGCTTGCGATTCGAGTGGGTATTTACATAGCCGATGAGATGAGGAGTGTCCACTTCTCGGCATTCCTTGCTGATTGTCTTACGGAGCGGCCAAATGATTATAACGAAAACACTTTTTGGGCCGAGATTACAGGGGGAGTTTATACACCATCGACCGCACGAGGAAGGATGATTCGGTCTACTACCTACAGACTGCTGCACCGTTTGATTTCTATGTCTCTCACGCACCACAAGAATAGTGAGAGAGTGCCTTCGACAGACTTATATTTCCTATGAGCGCTTGTTACTCCAGGGAGGCACCTGAACCTTCCAGTTGCTTTAGCTGCATATTTGGGACGGAGGGCCAGGGGACTTCGGGAGAATAGCCCGATTTACGGAGGGCATTTTATCACGCGTTTAGCCCGATCATATCAGTTGTTGACGCAAGAGATCACGAGATCGATGGTGTTCCATGACATGAGGCCGATGAGTCTTCAACTGTTAGAGTCAATGCGTGTATTGGAGCGGGGTGGAGATGGTGTTTTGCGAGTACGAGCAGATGATGTGGCGGATGAGGAGGGTGCCGCCGAGCCACAGCCGAGACGGGTCCAGCGGCGTAGACCTGCTCCTCGGGAAGCGCAGCAAGGACCTGAGTCGGAGATTGATATGCGCTACCTAGCTCAGGGCATTGATTGTCTTGACATGAGGGTCCAGAACCTTAGTGAGTATGTTGCACATGTGGACAGGAAACAACAGTGGCATGGGGATGTGTTGAACGCATTCTTTGCCCACCAGGGGTATCAGTATTCGGTTCCCTATCCTCCACAATTCCAATCACGATATGATGGGGCCGGTACTTCTGGGACACAGCAACATGATGATGGAGATGATGAGTAATCCTTTTTTATTTATGTGTTTTTTTGTGTTATTTTTAGTTTAGTATTTTTATTTGGAATGTAATTAATCTTTAATTTAGTTTGTTTTACTTTTGTTTTCCATGTTGATGCTCTTTGGTTGTTTAGATCTCTGCATAATTTTCGCTCTTAGAAAGCTTGCAGTAAGTTCAGCAGCTAGGTCCGACTGTTGCTAGAGAGAGCCGTGTGAGAGTTCGAAGATTATAGTCAAGACCCACAATTTGTCATAAGTGTGGGGTGCATATTTATTTCGTGAGCAATTATTTCGAAGATTGGCATTTTTACGACATTTTGACTCTTATGATATGGATCAGCTGTTCCTACACCATAGAGTTTTATTTTGATGCGAGGAAGAAGTATCATCCCGGTTGCCACGACATGGTTGACACTTTCCTATGTTGTGGGGGATTTTTCATCGCGAGAAGAGGATGTCATTCTTGACGAGACGATGTGGTCGACACTTTCCCATGTCATAGTTATTACACATTGTATTTATTTGCAATCTTTTGCACCACATTTTTGAAGTCGACAGTCTTGATTTTATTTTTCAGCAAATTCAGAAGCAGCAGTTCCAGTTCCAGTCTTTCAGCAATATTTGAATCAACGTGTAGCAGCCCTATTCGATCTCGCCACAACTACCCAGGGGAGTCTGTTCCTTTTTCTCTCTTTTTATGTTCTTAATTCGTTTTAGCATACAATGAGGGCATTGTATGAAATAAGTGTGGGGTAGGGGGTCGGTAAAAGTAAATTAAAATTTAAAAGAAAAAAATGAAATAATAGTTGGAAATTGCTAGATTTAGGGAAATTTAAAAATTTAAATTTAAAAAAACAAACTTGAAATAATAGTTTAATTTAGAAAAATCAAAATCTAGTGATAATTTAATTTTTGCTAATATTGTATGAGATGATCCGATGAGAACTCAAATGTTTAGTTGAGCCAATATACGTTATAGTGTATTTGTGGCCTTTCTTATTTTAGTGAAATCATGGAACAAAAACATAACCCCGCTTGGTTTGAGGGATGCAATATGTTTAGTAGGCTAAACCTGAAATGTATCTAGACAAATTATTATCATTAACCAATAAAGGTTGAGGTTGTGTGCCTCTACTTAAGCATGTAGGTTTTGAGTGAAAAAAGTGAGGTACATATAAAAAAAGAGAGAATTGCAAGAAAAGTTTGAAGAATTTTGGAGCAAATAAAGTGAAGATCAAAAGATCAAAATTTCAAGAAATTCAAAAAGTCGAAGATACCAAGAAATCAAATCAAATAAGGTGGTGAATTCAAAGAAATCAAATATCAAATTGTCAAGAAAGTGAAGAATTCCTAAAAAGCTCCATAGTGGTATCATAAATTGTAATTCTAGATTATGTATGCTTAGGTTGCTCAACTAAAAATACCTTGAGGTTAGGAGGTTTTCTTCGGATGGATTCGGAGGGTTGCATAAAATGAGCATTGTTCGGAAAAAGTGGGCAAGTATTTATGAAGATTGTGAGTATTTAAAGTATGGGGGTACTTTAGGAAATTTTTTGACACAAATGCATGCGTTGCGGTCTTGACATAATTGCTGAGTTTTAAATGGATTGTATAGTGCAATATTGGTAAAATAAAAGTAAATTTTCTTGGGTGCAAGCAAAGGCTAAGTGTGTGGTATTTTGATATGTGTATTTTTATATATATTTATGCATTATATCTTAATATTTTGGCCTTTATTATTCTCTTTTAGAACTAAAAAGTACTCATAATGCTTTTAATTATGTTTTGCAGCTATTCGTTGTCGATAAAGCACAAAAGAAAAGACTGAAGCGGAATCTGGGCTTAGAAGCTAAAAGAAAAGAAAAATGTTGGAGGACCAATTACGCCCAGCGTAATTCCCTTGTACGCTAAGCGTAATGCCCAAATTCATGTTATGCCCCGCGTAACCTAAGGGTACGCCCCGCGTAATGGCTTGCACTGGATAAACTCAATCACGTGTAAATCCTTAGTACGCCCAGCCTTATCCGACTTACGCCCAACGTACGTAAGTCGGCTACAAAGGTTATAAAAGTCGATTTTCAGCTAACCAGAAGGGGGGATTCGAATTCTAACCTAATTTAGTAGATAATTAACTTCTGTTAAGCCATTTTGAGGGTCTAGAAGGCGGCCGGAAGGCCGTTAAGCTAACGGGAGCGGAGATCGGAAGGGTTGGAGAGCGGATACGTGTCGGTAATCATATGGGCTGTTAACGTGACCATGTTTAGCATTCCATTGTGTTACTATTCTGTATTTAGTTTCTGATTTGGGTGTAAAAATCTTTTACTTTATGTTTATGATTGAATGAAACCTTGATTATTGGACTAATTGCTATATTGAATAGTTTGTTTGTGTTTAATTTATCTTGCCAAGCTTGTTAAAAGATCCTTACGTATTAATGATAATTATTTGCTGTTAATTGTTAAGTGAATTGAGTTGTATGAACATCTACTTGATTGCTTGTCTCTTATGATTTTGATGACCATCGAGATTATAAGTCTAGGAATAACGAAGGTGAAACTAGGATTAACTTGGGAATAAGTAAGTTAATGTGTGAGCCTTGTTTGATGACCATCAACAAGAGGTTAATTGAATGTCTAATTTGATTAACTATATTTACAAGTCTTGCTTGATACGAACTGAACACTAGGAAGCATGTTAGTTTAATCAACTGATCACTGTTTGAATTGATTTGTTTGCTAAAGGATTAGTTATAGTGAACGCGAATCTAATCATTTTAGGAATCGGTGAACATGAATAAATGAATTTGTGTATGCAATTGTCTATGTTTTTAAGGTGTAATTTGTCTAAACCAAAGTACCTGAAGAGATTTGGTTTCCTGTTAGTTTATCGAGAGTAGTTAATTAATTGTTAGTTTGAGATTTATTTCTTTATTCTTTGCGTGTGACCTGTAACCTATAATCAAATATATTAAATTAATCCACCGTTCCCTGTGATCGACACTCGACTTACCTAAGCTATGCTGTAATCTGACTAGGTACACTGCTTATAAGTGCATAGTTAGTCTAAGTTTGTTAGGTTATAAATATTAAAATTAATGGGTACTTTCGTGCACATCACAGGTTCATGAATGAATAACACAAAAAAATGTTGATGACATTATACAAGGTATAATTTGTAGCAATTTATACAAAGGGGTATTTTGTTTTAACTTAATGAGATTAATTAATGGGTCAAATAAAACCCTTTTGAAGTATTTGAATAGACTATGTGATCTAGGTTTGTTCTGTTTCAAAGCATGGTCACTGTTCTTGATAAACTTCAGTTTGGTGTGCACTCTCTTTCTTCTTGATGATGTAGTTTTAAGAATATATGTTATGTACTACAATTAATGATACTTCATTTAAGTGGGTAATATTCCAGTTCTCTTACCATATCCACCTTCTGATTACATCATTCTTAGGAAGCTGACTATATGGCTGCTTAGCCACTTTTTAGGATAGCTGACTATATGGTCGACAATTTTCTAGGTGAAAGTACTTATCTTTTCTTACATTCATGAACCATATCTGATGCCATTTTGTTTTTGTTATTCAATATTACATTGATAGCTTTGTAATTACATGCTTTTACTAAACTATATATTACAACTCCAACTTAACTAAATCTTTTAACCATACTAGGTAGAAATTGATAAATCCATCAGCAACTTTGACTCCAAAGAATAAAGATGACTTTTATTTGGAAAAGAGACAATTCTTGTCATGATTCTCCCTGATCTTACATCTTGTTTTTTTAGATCAAGTTTAAAGTTTAGTTAATCTACATGATTTATGTTTCTATACTTATTTTATTTAGAGGTAAATGCATATTGTGCAACTACAACTTAATTTTGCCAATGACTTTCTTATAATTTATGTTAACATTTGTTTTATTACTAATTTATGCAACGAAATGGACTTGTTACAAATCTATACAAATGCCAAAATTCGTGAATTAATTGCAACAATTTGAAACATGACTACTTGCATGATTCTTGTTAGTAAAAAGTCATTGCATAATTTCATAATCCGAAAATGATACTCCAAAAACTGAAGGAAGCATAGGCTTTAATTTAGACTTTTTGGTTAGTTTCTCTTGACAAACATCCTTCATCTTTCTCCCATTCACATATAATCCTTGACTGATTTTGGGGTAGTTGCCTCCATCCTTCCTTTTATGGTTTCCAGTGATCTTCAGCCAAGATATGGTGATCAAATTGGTAACATGAGCTTTTAATAAAAAAATGACAACATAATTAATGGCAGGGTTGTGTGCATTGAGATTGCTAATGGGAGAGGTTTTATGGTAATGAATGGTAAACAATTTGTCTTATATTTAATGGCATTTCTATAATTAGGTTTATTATATTT